GATTGTGAAACCGTCTGACCAAAAGCAATTTCCAATCATCCCAAACACAATCATGTGAAACCAGAGAATATACCAACATACACCATATCCATAATCACTGCATTCATCAACTCATAAAGCTACCAAGACCAATTTCCAAAACAGACTTCATAATAATCAAATGTAGTATAAATCTTGTCAAAACAAAGAACCATAATCCATTTGTTGAACCAAAATAATGCAATATTCATAAACATACCATCATGCCAGGATAATGCAACTTAGTTATTAACTCCCCCTTACTCCAACCATACTCCCCCTTATTATATACTCCCCCTTGTTGCCAATAATTGACAAAGGTGAACATCTATATTAGTGGACTGAGTCTGACGGAGTGCCCGATTGGACAGAACCTGTACAAGATGAATAGAAACAAGAAACGCAAAACTTGATAACAATTAAGTAAATAACACATAAGCACATATAGGCACAAACATCAAGTTGGAGCAAATAAAGCATATCCAAGTAGTAAACATATTAAAAAAAAATTCAGATTGGGTCAAACAAAAACAGACAAACTAGCAAATGAAATAGTAAGTACAATCAGATAAAGCATATTCAGGCACTAATTCATATAATGCAAATTCCGGCACAGAATCATAACAGATAGCACGGGAAAACACAAACAAAACAAGCACGGTCATGACCGGACCAAACAAAAACACATTCACATAGAACACAAGAAAAATACACTTATGCCTCGACAAAGTTTTAAGCCCTAAACCAAAAAAATCAAATAAATAAAATAAAAAAAATCGGTTGTACCGGCCAGCTGCGGAGGAGGCCGATTCCGGCCTTCCTCGCGGCGACCAGAGGCCGCCTAGTGCCTAGGTGCGATTTTTGCAACACTTCTCAAATTATTATTACCTGAGACATTAGCAAACTTTATTAGGTAAAACAATTAAAAAAATAAAATTAAAAATTTACCTGTTATTCTTAATTGCAACCCTTAATCAGCAGTTTGTCAATTATCTTTTTGAGAGGTTTTAGAAATTACCTGAGAGACAAAATCGGTTTTCGTAACCCACACTTGTTTTACAAACTTTGCAATGTGTTTGTGGATGTACTTCTCGACCTTTTGATCCTTATAAAAATAAAAGCACTCCGGTCCAGTGTCCCCTCGAACCCTGCAATAGTGATAAATAGGATTATAGTATTTAAATTTTGGCTTGCCACGATGAACATTACCAAAATTTTTCCGTGTTGTACTAGTTTCTGGAGTGTCTGGATCAGGTCCAGTTGTCGGGTCAAAGCCAGAAGCTTTAACAAATACTGTCACGGCTTTGTCTTTTCCTCTAGAAAAACCCAAATCATATTTTGTAGTAATTTTCCTTCCAGAATTCAAGATTTGATCAAGTGTGGAGGTATTGTCCATCATTTTGATCCCACATTTTAGCATTTCCAACTCTTGTTTGAGTCCTTCCTCGCGTTTTAGGCCATCTTTGATGAGGCTATCCCTGTTAACAATTTGACTTTGATACAGTTTTCTAGCATTTTCTAAATTGCTAACTTGACTAGATAGTGATCTATTAACTTTTACAATCTAAGATTTCGCATTTTGCATACAATTTTTTGTACTCTAACTCGAACGAGGGAGCTGGTAAATCACGGTCTTCAACCGACACATATTCTCCAACTTCTAAGTCTTCTTCAGCTTCTGGATCAGAACCCATGTTGGTGATTGCCGTGAATGCCACAAAGTTACGGGAGATCTCTTCTGTATCAGATCCTGGATTAGGTTCAGGTTCATCATCATCACTCCAGGTTAGAGATACCTTCAACGACTTCCTGCGCCTTAGGTAGGTTGGACATTCAGCTTGAACATGGCCGAAACCTTCACATTCATAGCACCGGATGCCTTTACCACCAGACTTTTTCCTGGACTAAGAGTTTTGTGATGGACGAAAATTAGATGATCCAGTCTTTTGGTTGTTACGTGATGCATTTGATGTTGATCCCTTCTGGTTTTGAAACTTTCCATTTCGAGAGTTGAACATCTGTTTCACCTGTTTCAAAAGCTTCGAAAATTGTTTAGTAAAAAATTCAACTGGATCATCATTTACCTCGTTTGGATCAGATACAGGCTCATATTCTTCAGTTGTAAAGGCAATTTTCTTCTTCCTTTTGGGTTGGTCAGAGAGTATTTCCATCTCATAGGTTTGCAAGTTTCCCATTAATTGTGCTACTGTTTTGTTCTCCCACCTGTCATGTACACTTACAACTACATATTCGTATAATGGTTAAAAAGTATATTATTTATACAGTTAAATTTATACTTTATAAACTACAAACATACAATATTAAGAATTAAAACTAATACAAATTACAAACTTACTGGTTATAACGAATAAAATTAAACTAATATATAAAGATTTTTGTCGCTAATATGATTGTGACTCTTTAATTTATAAAAGGTATTTAGATTTACTTTGTATCTCTCTCTCTCTCTCTCTCTCTCTCTCTCTCTCTCTGTGTGTGTGTGTGTGTGTGTGTGTGTGTGTGTGTGTGTGACCAATACATGTAATAGTATTTTTCACTAATAAGTCACATTAATATGGTGCAAGTTTAATTGAGCATTTTATGACTATTAAGTGGTAGCATTAATGTTGTAACCGAAATAACGATTTCTGTTACAAAGCATATATTGATGATATATAAGACTATAAAGTATATGTCCTGCCACTTCTCAGGAATACCTGAAATACACCATCTATATTGTCCAGAGATTAAGTGAGAAACATTCTTACTCTATAGAAGTTGCTACTACCATTTGGATATCAACACACTAATACTAGCTACAGCAGAATAACATGCTATTCACAAAGAAATACAATAGAGGTGTCAACTATGACTGGATGTATGTTTGATCCTATCGCTTCCGCTATGAGAGTAGATTTTACAAGTATTATGATTATATATTTATTCTAATATTTGGTATCAGAGCAAAATATAATCCTTGCCTAGTTGATCAATTTGGATACATATGCAATTTGAATATTCTTATTATGTTAAAAGGCATACATATGTCTATGATTTGTTGATTTCCTACTTATAGTATGTATACATATAGATATTTGGACTCCATATGTGTATATAATTTTTTTCAAAATAATTTTGCAAAATATAAATGAATTAATTTCGAATAAGTTTGAAATAAATTAAAAATAAAACCTACTGCATTGGAGATCCACTTTTGGTTTCTATTTCTGGCTACTCGGTGGTGATCGCATAGAGTTTTTGGACGAAACCCCTCGACTGTGCTTGACGGCGACATCGAAGCGGGCTATGGTGACGGCGACGGTTGTTGGTGATTGCAACGAGGAGATGTGGCGGAGGTGAAGCTGTGTTCCCCAGCAATGTCGAAGTTTCTTCCCCTCTTTCCGGCTTCACCGATGACAAACCTTGGCGTTGCTTCAATCTACGCCATTTTTTCATTTCCGACTTCGTCGAGAAGAAGTTAACGATGGCAGTGGTGCGAATGAGGGAAAAAGTTGAAGGCGTAATGGTGTTAGGTCTCTGGCGATGGTGCTATATCCGTCGTCGGCTCCGGTCGACTTCTCTTCCTCTTCATCCAGTTGCGACTCTCACTCCCTCCTCACTATATTCATTCGGCGTAAATAATATAGCATCTAGGTTTAATTTGGTCGAGGGATGAAGATGATGAAATGCGTCAATGGGTTTTGGGCTTAAAATCTGATCTTATTTAGAGAAAATTACACTTTGGTCCTATGACTATAGAGGTGTTGTTAATTTTAGTTCATGACTTTAAAAACTAAAAATTTAGTAATGTGACTATGCAATTTTTAAAACATTTGGTCCTCTCTACCAAATCACCGGCGAATTTTCGCCGAAAAATTATAACACATTTTAAATTAAATATAAGTGGGGACAAAACGGTCACTTTAACTTTTAAAAAAGGGGCAAAATTCCATCTTCCCGTGATGGTAGTTTGCATCGGAGTAACTAACCACCACGCAATCGGTGACGGTAGTAGCATCTTTGCGTTCATGAAGGCTTGGGCTTTCTTTTCTAGTCACAGAGACGAGAGCACCTCCCCTTGTTTCTTTTCCATCAGAATTCTGACCATTTTTCGACTGAACAATGATACAAGATCGATAAGGACTAGGAACACATCTCTGGAACCACATAAAAAACATCAAGACTGAGGACACAGACGTTCATCGCCTTCCATCAATTACGAACACGGTCGGGTCAACGTTTGTAGTGACGCGAGAGACATCCAAAGACTCAAGAACCACATACTTTCATGACGACCCAATCTTGCACACCTCTCGTCATTTACCATGATTGCTTCGTATGTTTGGAATTGCTTTGTCAAATTGCGAATCGAGACAAACACAGATAATAACGAGGATGAAGACGAGGACGACTACTTTTGCAATCTGACCGATTACCGGGCACGCTTCCACCCAATCGTACCCAGAAATTACTTCGGCAATTGTGTTTTGGGTTTTATCGCAAAGGCGAAGACGAAGCTACTTGCCGGAGATGACGGCTTTGCAGAGGCGACTGTGGTGATCGGAGAAAGTATTCGCAGCTGCTGAAGATGGAATTTTGTCCTTTTTAAAAAAAAGTTAAAGCGACTGTTTTGCCCACACTTATATTTAATTTGAAATGAGTTACGTTTTTCTAGCAAAAATTCGTTGGTGATTTGGCTGTGAGGACCAAATGTGTTAAAAATTGTATAATCACGAGATTAAATTGTTAGTTTTTAAAGTCAAGTACTGAAATTAACAACATATCTATAGTCATAGGATTATAATAGTGTAATTTTTCTCTTATTTATTTTAAAGGGATTATGGGCTTCCTTTAAAATTTAATTGGCCTATTTGGTATATTTTTGGCATTTGGGCTTAACTTTCCCAATTTTTGGACTGATCCAATTTCTTAAAATCTTCTTCCCCACCATTTTTTTTTTGAATGTTACTGGCTCTATTACATTGTAGTATATGTTATTTGTGCCTATGTTTATTAATTCGTTTAAGGCATATGAGCTTGTCTTAATTCTGGGCTGATTTGGTTTATAAAACCTTATGGTTTTAGAAAATGTTTTCCATTTAAGTCTCGTAATATTATTATGCGATTATGGTTATTTATTGTGGTTATGGATTTCTTGCAATTTTGTCATAATTTGACAAAAAAATTTAATTATATAGTGTGATTCACAATTTTAGAAAATGCATATGTTTATAGTAATTGGATATTGTTTCCTTTTCAGTCTTGTTATAATATAATGATTTAGATTATGATGTTAAGAATCATTTTTTTTAATCTCTTTGAATTTGCATATCCAAAACTTTTATGGTAATAATGATCGATGAGAATATGTAACATTTAATAATAAGAATAATTATTAATATCAAATGGTGTTCGTTACGATTAAGAAAATTGATTATTCTATTATTATTGTTATGTAATATAATAATTATTAGACTTATTATAGTAATAAAGATTATCAATTTTTGAACCGATGGATCAATGATTTGTACCGTTACTATTGTCGTTACTTTTGGATTTTGATAATATGATGATTTGGAATCATAATTTTGAAACAAATTCTATTTTTTTTTATCAAAAGCATATGTGTTAATAATGATAATATTTTGTAACATTTAATAATCATTGCTATTAAATGTCAATGGTTACGATTGTGAAAGTTGATTGTTTTGTATTACTGTTACATAATAATTGTTAGTATTATTATTATAGTAATAACGATTATCATTTTTGAATTGAAAGAATTAATGTATTATAACATTATTATCACTATTGTTTTGAATATCACTATTGTTTTGAATTTTGATACCCATATTGGTTGAGTATGAATACTTGATTTTATTTTCATATTCATTCGGGATTGTTTTTGTGCATATAATCAAATTAAGTGTATAATATTATGATTCCAGTTATGCAATTTAATTTCGTGAGAATTTATTTTGCAAGTGAAAACATATCCTACGATTTTGATATTGTTGAAATTTGCATTTTAAACTATTTCTCATAAAATTTACTATATGCAATGAATCATTTTTTTTTTTGACCTACATGTTAAAACTTTTTAATAATTGAAAAGTATATAGTTATTATAAATTATTATTCAAATGTTATAATCCTTTAATTTTTGGATATATGTTATTATTATTATAATAATAATAATAATAATAATAATAATAATAATAATTTTTTTAAAGTTCATTTTAAATTGTTATTATGATATACAATTGATATGAACTTATTGAATTTCATTCATAACTCTTCATTAGTATAACATTATATTTTCTAGTTATGTGAATTTATTTATACATTTAGAATTGCATAAGTTAGGGATTATAATAAATCCTGTTAAGTTGAACCTTATGTGTAGAATTATATACGATAGTGCATTATGTTTAAGCACCTTTAATTTAGACTGTCTAGAATGTTCACTTGAAATTAAAAGTTTTTCCATAGGTGAACTATTAAGATTTGAAAAGATTACTCGTCAATTATGTCTTTAGTGTGAGAAAATATGAATTGGGAAAAAGTTTCTCAGAAAGTGACGAATGTGCTACTAGTTCTCTTGAAACATTACTATGTCTAAAGAGTTGGTTTCTAATGAGTCTTTGTCCCAACCAACTTTCCTGGGAATATACTCAGGACCAGATTTTGGGCTGTGCAACAGCACATGACTTCAAATTTTAGAGGGCCCAATATTTAATTTTTACCTAGCTAGTTAATACAATAAAACAAAATAAAATTACAAATAATTTTCAAAGACTCTAGGGAGGAATTGTAGAAATGTGTTTTTATAGTATTTTATCATGGAGGTCATAGGTTCAAATCTTGTCTGGTCTTTTGCCCAATCTTTTAAAGATTGCGCGGGTAGGGCATCATTTATTTACAAGAACGGGACCACAAAAATATAAAAATCGGCCCTGAATATACTTGGAAATGTTTATCATATTGTTGCATAATTATTTTTAGGTTCTAAAGTTGATGCCTAAAATATCAAGATAATTGTCTAGTGATGATATAATTTTGATTAATTAAGGAGTGGCCACAACATCTTTATTTAATTGAAATTTTATGAGATCACATACAAGCATAGACATATCGATTGTGATTAATTATATATGATATAACAAAATTTAGCTCACAGGCAGTTTTGTTATATTCATATGTTTAATTAGGATAAAAATACAAAACTATGATCGTAATTTAGCCCACATGCAATTATGTATCGGAATATAGTTTTGGTGAGTTTTATCATTACAAATAGGAAAATCAATTTATTTTACATATGATTATAATGTAAATAAATCGGCGTCTTCTATCATAAAGTTGTGATATATGTACATATTCAAAGAATATTTTTCTATATACATTTTGTGGTATTAGTCTAGTTTCTTTTAAGTGTATTTATTATACATGAAAAAAATAAATTAATAGCTTGGTACATTAATATTCTTTTGTGTACAAATATCAAGTGATAACAATTTCATAATTAAAATTATTAAGATATTCTGATCACTTTGTGAGTAATTACATAAAATATTATAAAATCTATCCACATAAAGTTTATTATATTAATGTAAATAGTGGGCATAAAATATCGAATCATATTTCTTAATTTACCCACAGAGATTAAGAAAATGAACATCGTTTGATAGTTTTATCATAAAGTTGTTGATGAATCTAATTGAATAAAACTTTAGCCCACGGGCAAGTTTTATGTCACTAGATTCTTCTATCACTTTGATAATAATTTTATCGTAATGTTTTAATTGAGTCTAATTGAACAAAATTTTAGCCCACATGCAAGTTTTGTGTCACTAGATTCTTCTATTTGATTATCATAAAATCTCAGTTGAGTCTAATTGAATAAATCTTTAGTCTATATGCAAGTTGTATGTCACTAGATTCTTCTACCGTTTAAATTAATGATCAAGATAAAATTTTATCATACCATTTTTAGAATTTATAACTTTAAGGCCAGTTATAATTCTACGTCGCATGGGTTGCATTGGCAACACATGTATTTTATTCATCTCCAAACCCTGACTTCGCTAACGGTTTGAGCGTTAGACTCATGTTCCCTTCCACTAGGAACCATCTCAGTCAAGAACCTTAATTGACATGCCGAGAGTCATTAGGATGTACAACATTTTAAGTTGCCACCCTTCAGAATTCAACACCTTGAATTTCCATGGCCTTTCGACCAAACCACTTGGTACCGTCACATGCACCTTCATCGTAGGATACCCTTTGATGTCACCACTGGTCTCCGAACCATAGTTCACCTGAATTTCGAAATGTGCAACTACGTTGCCGCTCCGACCATACGAATGTGCACCACGAGCAACATTCATGCTTCCACTTACCACAATAGTGGGAGCCATCGACTTTATTCGCCAAAAAATAGTTCAATTTTAAGATTGTTGGAGTTGAAGAATAAGTCGATACACCAAAAATATATATAAAAGATATATTTAAACACGAAAATATGAAATTTAATTTATAGAAAATTAGTTCCAATCAATTTTGGTACAAAATCAAAATTATATATATATATATATATATATATATATATATATATATATATATATATATATAATAGCGTAAATAGAGATTTATTTTACAAAAAATAATCTCAATCAAACTAGTACCAAGAGATTTAATTTTTATGAAAATTAATCCCACCACACTTAGTACGAAACGAGAAAGGGTTATATAAACCTGAGGTTTAAACCCAACTAGAAGAAACAGAAATTTGAATCGTGTGTACTGACATTCTCCCTAAACCCGATTCGCTACCTCCTAATAGTTCTAGGAATGTTGTAGAGTCAGTCTCCCAGGATAAAACGAATTACAAGCTGAGCACTCTGTACAGTACAATATCATTTAAAATCTGAATTAAATCACATTTGTAACCTCTCCCCCAATACAAACAACTTAATCTAAAAGTGTGAATTCTTTATAAATAAATTGGAATTAATGCCTACGAATCAAAATTAACACTTCCATAGCATAACTTAACCTGCAAGACCAGCCTTTATGCCATACAATTACAATTTAATACGTCTTAAAAAGGCTTATATATATATATATATATATATATATATATATATATATATATATATATATATATATACTGTTTGGTAAATGACTGTTAGGTGATTGGGTTAATTAATTAGAGGGCATAACTAGTTGATAACATTAGCTAATTGTAGAAATGTGTTTGGTAAATTAGCTATTTGCGGATAGCTGTTTGGTATAATTTTTTTTCCCAAAAACCAAATGAAAAAGTTGCATTGAACAACTTTTTAAATTTTAGCATTTTAAAGTTTCAAAAGCTAATTAACCAAACACTTATATTGATTTTTTAACCAATTCAAACAACTAATAGTGTGGTCAAATAAGCCAAAAATGGCTGATAGGCTAACTATTTTACCAAACAGGGCCATAGTGGTGCAAACCCACTTCCCAAACCAACGTGGGACAAGTGCTTTTACAAAGCCTTTCCACCTTCATTTTCCAACTCAAGTGGGTCTAGCTAGTTTGAAAATCAATTTCTCATTTACCTATTATTCATTTTAAGCGTATAATATATCAATCTATTTGTCTTATTACGAAAAATCCGAATCCACTTTAACACGACCAAATAAAAAATAGACCCACATATATTTATACCACAAAATAATCACTTTTTACATCGTTTTATGGAGTAAAAGACATTTTTAGTCCTAAATTTATAGTGGCTTGGACAATTTTAGTCCTTTATAAAAAAATTTGCCATTTTATGGACAGAGTTATTGTGGCGAGGACATTTTTGGTCCTCCGTCTATATTTCTGTTAGATAACCGTCTGAGAGAGGGGTAATTACGTCAATTTAGGCTATCTCCTTCTATCTATTATATCTATGTGTGTTTTGTTTTCTTCTTGGTCATAATTCGAAGGAGTCGGAGAGTCCAAGTTGCAGTTGTACGAAGAAATTACCGGAGAATCGAAGCCGCCAAACAGGTTACTAATCAAATAGATAGAAGGAGAATCGAAGCCTCCAAACACACATTGATATAATATATAGAAGGAGATACCCTAAATTGACGTAATTGCCCCTCTCTCATACGGTTATCTAACAGAAATATAGACGGAGGACCAAAAATGTCCTCGAAATATAGATGGAGGACCAAAAATGTCCTCGCCACAATAACTATGTCCATAAAATGACACATTTTTTTATAAAGGACTAAAATTGTCCAAGCCACTATAAGTCTAGGACCAAAAATGTCTTTTACTCTCGTTTTATGCTATTCCAACAATTCAATCAAATTTTCACAAGTCATAATTTGTCTATAGTAATTAAATTTCAAAGCAACTCATAAGTTTGGTATTTTCCCAATTGAATAATAAGGTAGTATATATATTAGATAAGAAAACAATTATATATGTCTCTAATCTATTTGTATTAATTAACTAATTCTAAATTAATTAATTATAACATGAACTAATTTTTTAAACTTTTACGAGCTATACTATTATTCACATCTTATCTTATAAGATAAGATAAAAATAGCATACTGAAATTTCAATTCAACTCTATTTCTTCTCCCAAATTCAACTCTATTTAATTCTATTAACTAAAGAGGTCGATGCATATACCTAAAGAATAGTGAAGTAGCAATCATTGTTTTTGCTCACAAAGACGAAATACTATTGACTACATCCTAAACCGACAAAATAGGTAGGATGATTAGTGTTTGATGTTCACAAAGAGTCCATTATATTTAAACGTAAGCTTTCTTATCCTCTTAAAAGGTTGAATCCTCAATTCAAATTTAACCAAACATTATTTGGAATGAGATAAATTACGATGACTTAATGACTTAGCAGACATGATCAAATGTTGGTGAGCACAGAGCATTTGCCCACTTTTAACATAATCCTACATTATCGATGTCAAAGTAGAAACATTGATTTTCTTTCTTAAATACTGTATATTAAATTAGTGAGTTAAACCCGTGCGAGCATTATCCATGCTTTCTCATTGATGAATTGGATGATTTGCACTAGTCGTACATTAGATGCAGTCTGTCACGCCCTCATAGGACCAACAAGAAAAGAGATTTAATGAATTTCAACATTAAAAGTGAGCATAGACATCCCATGAAACGTCCATTTTCCTCAAAGGGAAATTCAATATAATATCCTATTGTATTCTAGTCTTCTGGATCAATCTCGAAATCACAAACTCCCAATTCACGTTCAACCAAAATTTGCACTGCCATTTACTTGGACCCAAACAATCCCTAACCATTCCGACCAAAGCCCAGGGACCCACACTCAACCTTAAAACCGGTCGAAGTCTCCCTCCAAGTTTACCGTTAAATTCAAGATTCCGGAGCGACAATCTCTCTCTAATCCCGCCGGCGGGAATGCTCAGTATCCCTGACAAACAGCTACAGTCGGAAAATTTTCCCAGAATAAATGATCGTGAAGATATTGAAAAAGATCGGCGACCGTTGACGTATCCCTCTCTCTCATTTATATCTCATTTTCTTCTCGCAATAAATGCCACCGCTCCCCACTTTCTTATTATTCAAACTTGGAATCGTACTTGGCTTGGGGGTCTGGAAGTGAAGAAATATAGCTGTTAAAAGGTACTTTTTTTTTTCTTTTTTCTTTTTGGCTTTTAGTGATCAATGCTTAGAAGGATTTGGAGTGTTCTTTTAGCTTTTTGCTGCTTTTGATCTGTAAAAAAAATGGTGGGATTGTTGTTTAATCTTTAGTGTTCTTCAAGATTCTCTTTTGTATCAGTTAAAAATACGTTTTTATTTTGTTGGGTCATTTTCTCATGTAACAAATTCTGCAGGCTTTTGTGGATACAGTTATAGTTTTATGGTGTTCATCTGTTGATTCATTGGCTGCATTGGTGGGTGATTGGGAGTGATTCTTAGGTTGAAGACTTGAAGAGTGAATAATAATGGCTATTGTGAGTTTACATAATAATGTTTCTGCATTTGATTCTTCTTTCCTTGGTGAATCTCTGTCTCCTGTGTCAAGGCGACGGGGCGAAAGAGAAAGGCCAATAATGGTGTCTTCTGCATCCACTCTCATTCAAATGTGGAGGGAGATTGAGGGTGAGAGCATGGTGAGTAATACCATAACCAGATTTGGTGATAGAGATGGGCAACTGAGGAGTGAGGGTGTGAATTCTGTGGGCATTTTCGAGTCAGATGGGCACAATAATGGTGTTAATTCCCAAAAGCAGACAGTTTTGCGGAATGAAAATCAGAATGGCACCTCAGATTACTCCATGGATCTTGGGGAGATAGAAAGGCAGAGAGTGAGGCAAGTTTTTCGAGGATGGATGGGCGATGGTGTAAAGATTCGTTCTTTGAACACACCGTCGCCTATCAAAGGCCAATCAAAGGGAGAGTGGTTAGGTGGAAGTGAGTGTGTAAAGTTGAGAATTGTAAAGGAAGGGGTGCAGATGTATAATGAGCAGAGAGGCACAAACAACTCTGATAGAGATGAAGGGGGTGCTGAAAATAGTCCTCAAATTGAGCAAGTGAGTGAAAGGGTGCTGGCGAAAATTTCTGGAAATGGAGAGTGGAAGGGCTGCAGGGCCTTAAGAGGACTACGCGGCAGACAGGCTCTTCTCGATTTGCTGCTGAAGGCTCAGAGGGAACGGCAGAGAGAACTTCAAAGTTTGATGGAGGGTAGACATGTATCAGACTTTGCTTATCGCAATCGCATCCAGGTTTCTGTTTTTTCCTATGGTGTCAATAGATTTTCCATCATTAAGGATGTTCTTTGAGAAACATTTCATTTTTCAGTCACTGCTGAGAGGCAGATTCCTGCGAAATGGTAGATTGATCCGGGATGAAAGATCAGTTGCAGCGAGCGAAATAGGCCTTCTGAGACAAAGACAAACTGTTTCTTATTTGAGGTAAATCAAGGGACCCTTATGCTTATTCTCCTTTAGAGTTTAGGGCATTCTTTGATTCTTTCTAGCTAACAAATTTTTATATATGTGTGAATCAGGGAAGGATTTTTGTCTAGATTGGTCCATATTGAGCCTGGTCATGGTCAAATTTGTGGTTTTCAGTCCAATGGTGAACATAATGGTCTCGAAAATATTCGCTCTCAATCAGACATTGGACTAGAATCTGAGCTTGCATATGAATGGAGAGAGATAGATGATGGATCTCAGAGACTTGGGAACTCAGAGACAGTTGGGGACATGAATCAACACGGAAGAACTGTCGAAACTGCTGAAACATCAGAGCGACGCTTAGAATGTGACAGTGAAAGTTGGCTCGAAAGTGCAGCTAACCAACAGTATCCAACAACTCGTGACAACGATGTTGGAGAACATAGCGTCGAGGAGTCAATGGATGGTCCTGTTGGAAGGGCAGACTCGTTTTACATCCCAGATGACAACGATGTTCACAGCGTCGAGCTTAGAGAACTGCTGAGCAGGTATTGGTGTATCAATTTAACAAATTTATATCTAATGGTTCATTGGATCGAGGTAGTTGAAAAATTGAAACTATTCGGTTGATTCTTCAGGCGACGTGTCTCTAATCTACTGCAAAGTGGTTTTCGCGAGAGACTAGACCTGCTTATACAGTCTTATGTGGAGAGGCAAGTGCAGGCTTCTCTTGACTGGGAGAATGAGGATGAGGGTGACATAAACGATATCGAAAGAAATAACTTTTCACCAGATTCTCTATCCCAGCCTCTTTGGGAGCAGGAGTGGGAAATCATCAATGAGCTAAGGACCGACATGGATAGGCTTCAACAGCAGATGAACACTATGCAGAAAATGGTGGAAACTTGCATGGACATGCAAATCGAACTGCAGAACTCTGTGCAAAACGAAGTTTTTGCAGCCTTAAATCACTATTCTGTTTCAAAAGGTGCCTATACATCCTTAATCACAAACCAATAATCTTCTGTGTTTCTGTTACTTAATCACACATCCTTTTTTGATCAGATGGAAATGCTGCATGTGAGGACAATCTTGTGAAGGATGAACCGAAATGGGATAACGTGAGAAAGGGAATCTGCTGCTTATGCTGCACAAGCAGCATAGATTCATTACTATACAGGTAAGAAAAAATCGCGGTTTTTGTTATCATCTATCTGTTCCCATTTCTGAAGCCCTAATACCGCTAATCCCTATAGGTGTGGGCACATGTGCACATGTTCAGAATGTGCAGAAAAACTGGTCCAAGAACACGGGAAGTGCCCAATGTGTGAGGCACCTGTAGCTGAGATGATCCAGGCTTACTTTATACAACAATAATAGGAATATTAGGGATCGAAGTCTTTGCTTTTCTTGCACACTTAGCTTGCTCGAGGGAAATGGTCAATTCGATTCTATGGTAAGATTAAAGAATATTGGGATGAGCTTTTTTTGAACTGAATTATCCTGACATAGCTGACAAACACAAAACAAAGTCCAAGTTTTTTTATGATGGCTTGCAAGTTGCTCTACTGCAACAGTTTACTGCTGCTGGGATGTGTTCCTGTGAAGATGATTTGTGGAATTATAGGAAGAAGAGTTAGGAACATGAATATAGTATTATATGGTACTGAAGAAGATGTTCCAAATTAGGTGGAGGAGACACATTCATGGTGAAATGCTAAAATGTTTTTTTTTTTTCCCAGCATGATGCATTGTTATGCCTCCTGTATCCTAGCTTGGATGAGATAAAATTTGCCAATATTATCATTCTAGTCAGGCTATATATCAATTAATTAAGATAATTGGATCCATCATCAATTAAGTAGTTTGGACTTATTCGTTAATTTAAGCTATCCAATTAGCTTAATTGTTTTTTTTTTTTTTTTTTTAAGCTACTAACTCTCTATTACATTGTAGTATCTATTTCCGCCTCCATTGAGGCTTGATCTCATGAACTCCCATATAGAAAAGTCACTACACGTCATCTGAGCTCAAAGTGCTTGACATTAGCTTAATTGTTTGGTAAGGTTTATTAGTTAAAGATAATTATTATATTAATCCAAACATGTGTGATGTGTGGCACACAATACTTCTTGCCCAACAAACAAATTGCTGCATGGTTTCAGCCAAAAGCATGGAAGTATTCTAGGTTGTCGAGGTTTAATCGAGATTTGGATTTAAGCTATCCAGTTTAGATTCAAACATGTAATCGTCACATCAAGAATCTTGATATAGGTTTACATGGACAGTTCAACTGGTCATAGAGGTAAAATTTATTGTAAAAGACCAATGATCAAATTTCACCAACGGCAGAGCAAAAGTCTAGCTTATGTTGATCAATTGAGTCATTATGGTTTACCTCTTCACAAACTGTCAGGTCGGGGTGTGGGCCGGGGACGCCTGGGGTAAGTAACTCCATCTTTTCTGTCACAAGAATCTTGATATAGTCCTAATGTATTGGTCTAATAGATGACTAGTCTCACTTAAAATTTACTTACATTGGCAACAGACTTCTTTGGAAGTTTGAGTTTGGAATGAGCTCTTTGTGCATAAGTGTACATTTTGACATTTAATATTGAAATTAAATTAACTCAATTTATCTTCTCATGGGCATGAGGTGGGTTCTAAGAGTTTAGATATATAATCCTGCAAAATCGAGAAAACCTATGTTATCAAAAGAAAAAAATAATATTGACATAATATATTTAATAGAGATAATATCAAATATTATATTTCTTATTCCAATGGATAATAATAAGATTTTTAGAATTTGTTGTTTTTAAATATTAAAGTTAAGTCATTCATAATGAAGAAGACAACTTGAAAAGTATTCACATGCCCAATTGCCCATGGATCAAGGCCTTTAATTGTAGTCTTGTAGATCTATCCATTTAAGGCATAGACTTTTAAGTGAGTACCAAACCATTTCCGATTGGATATTTAAATGAATAAAAAATACATTTAAAGTTAATGTTTGGTATAAGTTACACTGGAGCGTTATGTTGTGCATCCGTATGCACCATTCATGGTGCACCCGGATGCAAAAACAACAACAACAACAACAAAACAAAAACAAAACAAAAAAAAAAAATCATAATTGCATAACTACACATCCATAATTTCATTACATCCATAATTTCATAACTATACATTCAGAATTGCATAACTACACATCCATAATTTCATCACATCCATAATTTCATAACTATACATTCAGAATTACATAACTACACATCCATAATTTCATAACTATAAATCCAGAATTACATAACTACACATCCATAAGTCCATAACTTCATAACTATACATCCAGAATTGCATAACTACACATCCATAACTTCATAACTATAAATCCAGAATTGCATAACTATACATCTAGAATTTCATAACTATACACCCAGTATTTCATAACTAAAAATCCAGAATGAATGAACTAAAAAATGAATACCATAATGTTGTTGCTGAGAATCGAAACTGATTTTTTTTTTTTAAGTAGGACGCGCGTTTTGATGCAAAAACGACGTCGTTTTTGCATCCGTATGCACCATCTATATCATGCACCATGGTGCATGATCAATCATGCACCGCACGTCAGACACTACAGTATGTCTAAACCGACATTGTCTCACATATTATTTTTATATTATCAAATGAAACTACAGTTATATCAAAATGATACTGTAGTTGTGGTGAAATGAAACTACAGTATATATAAAATGAAACTGAATAACATTTCACATATTTGAGTGTATATTGTACAATGAAGCTGTAATTATATTGAAATGATCATGTAGTTGTGTTTTAATGAAATTATAGTGTATATAAAATAAAATTAAATAATATTTTAACATATTTGAGTGTATAAATATTGAATGAAACTGTAGTTATATCGAAATGAAACTGTAGTTGTGTTGAACTGAAACTGCAATGTATACAAAATGAAACTGAAGAATAGAGTTATTTTTGCGAAGATTCTGTTTCTTTTCATTAAATAAAACGACGTCGTTTTGACAGTGTCGGTTTAGACACACTGTAGTGTCTGACGCGCGGTGCATGATTGATCATACACTGTGGTGCATGATATAATTTGTCATGCATACGGATGCACAACACAATTTAGCAGTTATACTTGTATAGTTTGACTCTTATTAAAAAAAAAAAAAAAAAATGGTCCAAAGTTCATTGTTAACAAGACGCACATTAACTTTATTGTTGCACTAGCAGTGAAGATACAGCCATATATAATTTATAAGTTCTTTCGGTATAAATCAGAATATTTAAACTATGAATGCTTTAAATGGAGATCGAGCTATGTAAATCAGGCAGTCAGGCACTACTTCAATTAAAGTCCTTTAAGCCTTTGTTCTTTAAATAACTAGGGGGCATGTTTAATCTAGCAGTATTAATTTGTGACTTTAGGTTAGATAAAATATAGTACTATAATTTTCAATCTCTAAAAATGTGAAATTTATTTATTAAAAATAAAACAACTTTACTTTGTACGTATCCAAGTTTTTTTTTTCTTTTTTTTTTTGAAATTTTCGTGGTGCTTTCATTAGAAATAAGCTGCAATAATGTCAGATTGTCAGGTGGAGATAGATCCCAATACATAACAGTAGGCTGCTGGAACGCAGCAGATGCTAACGCATGAGCTAAATAATGGTATGATCTAGGGATAAAACTGAAACGACAAAAATCAAATGAAGCCGCAATAATCTATTAATCTTACAGCTATCGATAGCATAACCAACATATGAATGACTATAGATGGGGGCAAGGCGAGATATTGTTGCAATGAGAGGCAATCTGTGTAAAGATGTACTGCTGCTTCGCCCCGGTCCTTGAGCCATGATAATGCTTCCTTGCACGCAAAGGCCTCGGCCATGAGTGGTGAAAAACAAACTGGAAGAGGGGCACTGAATGTTGCTACATATCCTCCATTCGCATCGAGTAGAATTGCCCCTACCGTTGCCACACCTGAGTCGTGCCGATAGCCGGCATCCACGCGGCACGTCCTGGGCAACATTGCTGCCGTGATGGAGGGAACGGTGGGCATAAGGTCGTGCGGCAGTGGCGGTCCCCCAGCAGGCTCCGGATGTTGCGGCTGTGTCACGGCAGCGGCTGTTGGCTGTGTATTGCGCCATGCTTGCATGGTTGCCGTGGCTATGGCTAACAGTCTCGTCGGCCGTAGCAAGACGACATCCCACACTGCTCCATTCCGTGCTCTCCAAATATGGTATAAGTTTGTTGTTGCATATAATATTCCATTAGAGTCTAGAATATTTAGGAGATCAGGAAACCAAACATGAAAAATATTCGTCACAATATTGGGGATTGGAAGGCTAGATTGTTCCCATATGGTAATCCCGTCTACCTTCTCTTAGCCTGTTGTTATCTTTTAGTTGTTGCTACCAGTTGCTTGTTGTTTGCCTTGTGTGTTTTTTTTTGTTTGCTAGTTTGGTTGAGTAGTTAGCTTCGTGGGTTGTACTAGGAGCTAGTTGTTTAGATCTTTGGTGTTGGTTAGAAGTTTGGTGGTTGTGTTTGGTTAGTGTTTGATATGCTCAAAAGAACTCCGTTGATTATTTCTTTCAATCCTTTCAATGTTATGGTTTCTCGCTTGTTTTTGGTGTCATTTGGATCCTCTAAATTTTGACCAAAAGGATGTTCTTGACATTCTTGTCACAATGTTGTTTCGTTTCACCGTTTGTTTTGATTCGTCGTACCCAAGCTTCGAGGACGAAGCTTCTTTTAAGGAGGAGAGGTTGTGACACCCCGTAAATTCAAATTCTATTTAGGGATTAATTAAGTAATTAATCCTAATCTAATTGGTAATTTATTCTTTAATTCCTGAAATTTCAATAGTCGGGGACTAGTAATTGACTAGTCAACCCAAGTCAAGGTGTTGTACCTAAAGCTTTGAGAATAGTTCCCTTGTTCCCTTACACATTTTCATCTTAGTAAGGGTAAAGAAGAAATTACACTTCATGTTTGTATCCTAAGCTAACCTAAGGTCATTTCTCATTCTTCTCCTAACACTTTCAAATCAAAAGCTCTTCCTTCTCTCTAAAAATTTAGCTAGCTTTTCCTCCAAGCTAAGTTGGGACTTTCCAAGATCTTCAAAGTTTGTCTCCAAGATTCCACCTTTCCTACTCTTGAGCATCTAGGAGGGTAAGATCTATGTTCCTTTTGTGTTTTTAGAACTTTCTAAGTATCTTTTTCTAAAGATGAAATCTTTATGGTCTTTTGGTGTGTTCTTGAAGTGGGTGTTGAAGATGAACCTTGTTAGATGCTTTGAGAGGTGTTATAAGTGAAGGTTTAGTCTTCAAGAGGTAACCCATGCTCTATAAAATCTATTTTCATTACCTATATGATGATTTCTTGGATTCCACATGTGATTTTGCTATGAAATATGAGGGTTGATGCATTGTCTTGTGAAAATGCATATCTAGAGCTTGTTATTAGGGTTCATGTATGTCATTACTTGGCTATTCCTTTGATTCAAGTCATTTTGTTTTATTTGGTGAGATTTTGGAGGTTTTGGACTTGAATTTGAGCTTGGTGTTGAAAATTCCCGAAGGATATTTGGTACAGGGTGTTGTACCCGCGGGCGGAACGGCGGGTAGGGGTCCACCCACGGGGTACGTTGGTCATGGGATGTGGTTCCCGTGGGCGGAACCACGGGTGGGGGTCCACCCGTGGCCCCACCCGCGGGGTACATATATGGTGATGTTGGGGATTTGTTCCCCGTGATTCTTTTGACT